ACAATTTTATAGGAAAGCAACAAATTGGTGTGAACAGGTCCCATTTAAGTAAAAGGAGGTCAGTGAGATAGTTTATTGTGTCAGCCTGGCCGATAAACACAAGTGGGATTAATTGAAGAATGGCTCAGTGAGCCTCACCTTCTTGTCTCTCGCTGTTTGATCATCGGACCAGTGTGCGGCTGCCTTGCTTGTTCTGTGCTTCAATTTAGAGGCTACACTACCTGTGGGACACCTAGCCTGTGGACTGTGTCGCTGTAAGTTGAGGTCCCTTTAAGACCACACGATTGAAATTTCTCTCTCTTGAGCTGGGGACTGACAGTTGGTGACCTGGCTGACAGTTGGTGACCTGCCTTGCTGTTTTGCTGCCTGTGCTGGGATAGCGGAGTTCTTTCTACAGAGGATGACCTGACAGCTCTCAAGACTTAAAGGACTGCCAGGAATGAGTTGCACTGAGCCATTTGTACTGCTTTATAGTTTAACTTCATTTCTTGTATTATACATCTATCTTTATATAGATATATAATTTAACAGTTCATTTCTTGTTATATATTTATCTATCTTTATAAATATAAAATTACTAGTAATCTGGTTTTGTCTCTCTAGAGAACCCTGTCTAACACAGTCAGACAGGTAACTTCATGATCTCCTGGGAAGTAAGACAATTCAGGCTTCAGTGACTTCTAAAATAAATTTGGAATTCACCCCACCTCCTCCGTACTCTGCTTCCTCCGTGGCATGGCCTGGTACAGAAGACTTGTGTTCATGTCTTTATCCCCCTACTTTGTAGTTGTGTGATCATGGGCAATGTATGTCTCTGTTCTCTCCTCTGTAGCATGGAGATAGAACTAGCTACTGACTCGCTGGGTTATTGGAAGGATAAATGAGGAAACACACACAAATACTAGACTTGTGATTGTTAGTTGCTGTCTATGTTGTAAGCAGGTTGTTGAATAAACAAAATGACCAGAGACTGAGCACAGCTAAAGAGGTTTAGTGGATTCAACCCAGACTCCACGCTGAGGGATCACACCAGACTCTGTCCAGTACCGAGTGTGGACCCTCAGTTTCGACCTGGGACAAGCTTTTAGAGGCATCACACACACACACACACACACACACACACACACACACACACACACGTCCTTTTCTTTTTTAAAAAAGCAGAACTTTGCATTATCTTTAACTTGTGGTTTTTCCAAAAAGCTGCTCGGCAGTGTAGTCATGTTAGCGATATGAATTATTCATGAGCACGAGAATCCGTCCATTCATTTACAACCCCTCCCCCCTGCCCCCGTTGTTTTTTAGCAGCCTGCTTCCTGCTTTAAGAAAGCGGGTCCCAAAAGGAAAATGAGCTAATTCCGGGAACCCAAGAGGAAAGCAAATTTTGGGAATGATGAGGGCAACAAATGTATAGGTGTGCTTTACACAATTGATCTATGTATTGTGATGAAGTGTATGAGCCCCAATAAAATGATTAAAAAGAAAAAATAAAAATAAATAAAAAGCAGGTCCCAGAACCTCAGGAGATCCTCCAAACCCCGAAAAGGAAGCCCCCTCCCCTCTTGTATCGTTGGGTGCCGTCATGTGGATCTCACCCCCAGTGGATTTTAACTCCCAGAGGGGAACTGTCCCCCCGGGGCTTCCTGGCCTGGCACCATTACAGGAGCAGACTGCCAGGACTTTATTCCTCAGAGCCGCTGGGTGGGTTCAAACCACTAGCTCCAACCGGGGATCTTTACTGCTCTCAACAAACGTACTGCCGGCACCCTCTTAATTGGGAGCAGGAAGAGTCCCTGGGGCCCACGGGCTTCCCCCCGCGACAAGGGGCCCCTCCTCTAGCCCAGAGCAAGCGTCTGGGGGCGCTGCTCCCGCTGGGAATTCCGAGAGCCTTTCCCAAGAAGCTGGTGGCTCCGTGGGTTAGACATTGGGCTGGGAGTCAACCCTGCAGTGCATTGCAACCTGCTGCCTCGGTCGGTCTCGTGAAATCCTGGACGGGGGCCGGCTCAGGGTCTGAGACCCTAAATTAAACAGTGCTCCCCTAAGCCATAACGCTGAGTGCAGTAACAACTGACTGCTCACTGAAAGGCTGCTGGTTTGAGTTCACCCGGCAGTGCCTCACGAGGAACCGAGGTGGCCCATTGGGCTATGCCCAGTGCTAACTGCAAAGTCGGTGGTTCAGACCCACCAGCCGCTTCATGGGAGAAAGGCTGTCTACTACCGTGAACAGTTAAGTCTCAGAAACTCACAGGTCCGTTCTACCCTGTCCAGGAAGATCGCTATGAGCCAGAATTGAATTGATGGCAGGGATCCGTGGGTTTTTTTGTTTGCTTATTGCAGGGGGATGGGGAGATGCGTGAGTTTCTGAGAGAAGTTACACGGAGGAAAACCAGGCAGTTGGCCTCTGCAAGGTCAGTCTGAAAACCCTACGGGGCACTCCTACTCTGCACGCTTGGGGTCGAACCGAAGGGAAGGCAACACGTGGTGGTGGTCGCCTCGTGGGGCGGGGGGCATGCTGACAGCAGGCATTGCAAAGCAGGAATGCACAAAAGGGCGGAGCCGGCTGCAGGAGGCTCTGGGGTAGACGTGCACTCGCACTGCGCTGTTGACCACGACCGTGGCCTCCTACAAATGCCCACTTACCGCACCGTGCGCTGCGGGGTGGAGGGGGGTAGTTCACTGTCGAATGGGGGGGCTGGCCTCATGGCAACCCCATGTGCCTTAGGGGCCTGCCTAGACTATCAGTTGCCCTATATTCATTCCTTACCCTGGTCCCCATCCCCTAAGCAGCTGGGCTGAGGCCCTGCAGACTGTGAGTGCGTCTGTCCTGGGCATGTCCTTGTCTTGGACAGGCCCTCTGGGAATGGGCCGGATACCTCTGGGAAGGTGGCAGTGGGGCAGGCCCAGCCTCAGCGCCGAGCTCACAGGCGCCTCGGTGACACTGTTGCCAAGGACACAGTTTGGAGACACATGGCTGTGCCTCACAGGGCTGCGTGATGAAACTCTGCAGGGGCAGGCCCCTGTGGGCCAGGCCCGAGCTGGCTCCGTGCCCTCCAGGTTCAGATCGAGAGAGAAGGCTCTTCCCGCCTTAATCCTGCCTGGAGTCCTGGGCCTGCTGTGCCAGCCCGTCAGGCCATGCACCCATGTTGGGGAAGAGAGACCACATCAGGCACACCACTGAAGAGGGAGATGAGCGGGCAGCGGTGGGGGGGGGGGTCACCAGGAGGCTGAGCGGCAAACGGTGAGTCACGTGAGAGCCTTATTTGGGAGCAGCATTCAGCTGGGACTCCAGACCCAGGTGAGAGAAACCTCGTGTGGGAGGGACAGAGCCTGCAGCCCTGGCCTGAGAGCTCTGAGGCCCGCCCCGTGGGGTGCAGTAGCCTGTGTGGTGGGTGCCGTCTGGCTGCTTCTGTCCTCCCTTAACCCTAGGTGGGCCACATCAGCACAGCTGCCTTGGCAGGATCCAATGTCACTTCTGCCTTCTCACGGACCGGTGCCGGTCCCTTTGTCCCCAAGTGTCCAAAGACAACTCCTTGCACATGGCTGGGTGGACAGCCCAGCCCAGAAAGCCATCCCCAACAGGGGCGTGGCCTAGTGCCCGGCCCTGGTTCTGCTGGCTCTAGGGAGGGCCTGGGGCAGGAGGCTGGGTTCCCAAGGGTCACTCCCAGGGGGAGAAGTGGTGTGGGGCGAACATGGGGAACGCGGCGCCCGGATGTCCCCTGTGCACGTGAAGACTGGACTGTGGGTGAAGACGGAATCGCTGCACTTGAATCGTGGGGCTGGCAGGGATGCGACGTCCCCCGCTGTGTGGCAGGCGGGTAACTTCACGTCAACCTGAAGACAGAGCTGAGCACGTGGTGTGCAACCTGAGTCATGCTGGGGGCGCCTCCTGGTGGGCGTGGCCTTCTCACAACCTGAGTCAGGCTGGGGGCGCCTCCTTCTCACAGGAGGGCCCTGGCACGGGTGTGCAACCTGAGTCAGGCTGGGGGCGCCTCCTGGTGGGCGTGGCCTTCTCACAACCTGAGTCAGGCTGGGGGCGCCTCCTTCTCACAGGAGGGCCCTGGCACGCGGGTGTGCAACCTGAGCCAGGCTGGGGGCGCCTCCTGGTGGGCGTGGCTTTCTCACAGGAGGGCCCTGGGAACCTCCCCGTCTCTCTGCCTTCCCCTTCCTGCTGGCTGGCCCTGTGACGTGACTGCCATTAAAGACACAACTGCACCCACCAACCCTGTGCTCTGCCTGCATGTGCACTGTGCATCACTGCTTGTGCCTGTGCCAGTCTGAAGAGGGATTTACAGACTCGTACCGGGCTTACGGGCTTGAGTTGGACTGGGCTGGGAATGTTTTCCTGATAATTACTTCTTAATATAAAGCTCTTTTTTACACTGGATTTGTTTCTCTAGTCAACCTGGCCTGCTAAAAGCATACACCCACCTGTCTCGGAAGAAGTACAGAGTGCTCTTTAGGGGCAAAGGTGGCGGGGCTTCATCTTACATACTTTGTGGACATATTGTCCCCAGAAAGACCTTCGTGTTTGGTAAAATAGTGGGGCAGCGAACAAGAGGAAGACCCTCGACAAGATGGATGGGCACAATGGCTGCAACACAGGGCTCACACTTAACAATTGTGAGGACGGCGCAGGACTGGGTGCTGTTTTGTTCTGTTGTCAATATGAATCGAACAGACTCGAGGCACCTAAAAACCACAATTTCTACTGCAACGAAGGCATGTAACCACCCTGAAGAGCAAGTGGGAGTCTGGAGGGGTGTTCCCTGGGGAATGCTCATGAAGGGCGGCTGTACCTGCTCCCTCAGACTTTCAGGGGCCCAAGCTGAGCCTGGTTCCTATTGGCCAGAACTGAGCAAGGCAGGCTTTTCTGGAAACACTCTGGGACGCAGCCCCTTCCCCACCCCCTTAGGAAAGCAAGTCTCTGGGCCAGAAGGGGGAGCCCATGGGGCAGGAGGCATGTACCGGCGGCCGTGGCAGGTGGAAACTCAGGTCTGACCTCCAGCAAAATGAAGGGTTTAATAGAAACACCAGCGTGATTCCCTACGTAGCAGGTGATGTGAGGCAGTCAGCAATAGAAAAGGCAGGGCTGGGGTCGCCAGGGTCCTGTCTCTTCTCCTAGTTCACAAGAGGGTCCTGAGGGGAGGGCTCAGAGTGAGAGGTGGCCACAGCCCAGTGGGCATCCTCAAAGCCGATTCCTCTTTACCCTAGTTGCCACGGGAGGAGGGTTTGGGAGCTGAGAAGTACCACAGTACAGCACGTGCCCCTCCCAGTGCCCCCTGGGCCATCGGCTCAGGAAGCTCAGAGCAGGGCTGGGCAGGTGCCGGGCTGCTGGGGCCTGCTGTCCGTACAGCTCCGAGTAGCCAGTCAGCAGGCCACTGGCGGGGGGTCGTCCACCTGCAGCCCCTTGCTGAGGAGGAAGGCGTCCTGCCTGGGGTCGCGGCCCAGGAAGAGCTTCAGCATGGCGCTGGCGTCCTGGGAGCCCCCAGGTCTCAGGATGCAGTTCCGGTAGTCCTTGCCCACCTATGGAGGAGAGGAGGGGTCAATGGACAATTGGAGGGGTCCCCACACCCTACAGCCCACCCACTGCTGAGGTGTGGCGACCCCTCCCTGCTTGAGGACCCACATCATGTGAGAGGCCGGGAGTCTGGGCCCCGCCAGACCCCCGCATGCTCTCCTGCAGCAGTGGGGGAGGGGACACAGGGCTGACCTTGCTGTTCAGGACGCCCTCCTGCTTGAAGCGGGTGTGGAACATGTCCATGGAGTAGACCTCACTCCACAGGTAGCCGTAGTACTGGGCATCGTAGCCGCCCGCCAGGTGGCCGAAGGTTGCTGGCATGTTGGTGCCTGGGTGGGGGTGGAGGTGGGGGAGGCACACGGTGAGGGCCTTACCACCTGTCCCCAAAGGCAGATACATGGGGAGCCTATGAGGGGTCCTGGACTCTGAGGCTGGGTGGCCAGTGGTGGCTTCATCCAGCACCCCTCTACACAACTCTACCTCCCAGATGTGACGGCCACAAATGTCTCTCAACATCACTTGGGTCCCATGGGACCAGAGCACCCGCAGACTGGAGGGTGGTAACTTACAGTGGAACTGCCTGGCCCCCACCAGGAGCTCAGGGCCAAGCTTTAGGGGGCAGGGAGAGTCTGCCCACCACGGAAACTCACTGCAGACACTAGGCCCCTTCTGCAGGCCAAGCAGAGGGGGAGCTCAGGGGTGAGGTCAGGCACACCAGGAGTGAGCTGCACACTGGCAGTTGCAGCAGGTTAGTTATGCAAACTCTAAATGATGCCCTGAACCTCTCCACCCACAGGGCCCCTCCTCGCCATGTTTCCAGGCGACCTGGCTCTAGGGGCTACCTGGTGTGGCGGGGACCCCCAGGATCTCCTGGGAGAGCCGCCCATATTCCTCGGCGGGGTCAGCGCCCGGCTGCGTGTGCAGTGCCTGGTCCACTTTGGCCAAGACGATCTGGCGTAGATTGAAGAGACCTTCGAGGGGAAGAGGGCAGCACTAGGAGGGCCCCCAGCAGGGAGCCCGGCACCGCCGCCTGCTTCAGACCTCCCGGCAGGAATGGCACCCTCCACCCTAGTGCCCCAAGCCCGGGGCTGACAGCGAGTCCCGCACCTGTGTTGGCCTGGCGGGAGGCGATGAGGCGGTCGAGCAGCGTGGGGGGCAGCGCGCCGCCGGTGCGGTAGTGCTGGGACATGCGCAGCAGGGGCTCGCGCTCCCACACCCAGTTCTCCAGCATCTGCGAGGGCGCCTCCACAAAGTCCCGCTCAACGTGCGTGCCGCTGAACATGGCGAACTCCGCCTGCGGGGCACCTGCCGGTCTACCGAAGCCTGCTGCCAGCAGGTCACTGGCAGCCCCACACTTCTCTGCTAAAGGCCGACAGCCTCGGACACGCTCCTGACCCCAAGGGGCAGATGGACAAGTGCGGCAGGGGGCGCACGCCCGGTGGCCACACATGCACCTGCAGGGCACACCAGGAGCCCCCTTGTGACTCCGTATGAGCGAGGACACAGACAAGGGTCCTGCAGCAAGGTCCGGGGCCTGGGCTCTGGAAGAGCCACCCACCCCAGCCCCATCTTGTACCACCTGACCAGCCTGCTCGTCCTGCGCTCTCGCCCCCCCGCCCTGCCCCACGCACCTGGGAGCACAGCTGGTGCATGACGTGCCCGAACTCATGGAAGTAGGTCTCCACCTCGTCGTGCTGCAGCAGCGACGGGGCGTCAGGTGTGGGTTTGGTGAAGTTGGCCACCATGGCAGCGATGGCTATCTGGCGGCTCCCGTCTGGTCGCAGGCAGCCCGGCTGCAGGCCGAAGCAGGCCGCGTGCCCGTATTTTCCTTCCCTGCAGCAGGACGTGCCTGGGTCAGGGGTCTCCAGGACAGCAGCGATTCTTGCCCGCCCCACCAGGCCATGCCCAGCCGCCGCCAAGCACGCACGCACGCACCGAGGGTACAGGTCCAGGTAGAACTTGCCGACAACCTGGCCCGAGGCAGCATCGCACACGGTGTAGAGCTCCACGTCCTCGTGCCAGGCAGCAGCGCTCTCCTCCCGCTGGAAGGTGAGGCCCAGCAGCTCCTGGTAGATGCCCAGCAGCCCCTGGGTGACCACCTGCATGGGGAAGTACTCCTTCAGCAGGTTCTGGTCCACGCTGTAGCGCGTCTCCTCCACCTGGTTCATGTAGTAGCGCATGTCCCAGGCGTTGATGCGCCCGTCGAAGGGCAGCCCGCGCCGCTCGCACTCAGCCTTCTTCAGCTCCAGGATCACCGTGCGCTCCTGCTCCCCCAGGGGCTTCAGCTTCTGGGCCAGCTCGTCTGCGGGGGCAGGCAGAGACCAGAAGCTACCTCCCACTCCCCACCCCCCACGCCACTCCACCCAGCCTCTAGGCAAACTCTGGGTACACCACCAGCATGGACTTGCTGAGGGTGGGGATGGGGGTAACGAGGGGTCAGGGGCTCGCTCAGGGACTGGGGCTCAAGCGGGGCTGGGAGCGCACTGAGCAGCGGGGGTTAGGGGCGGGGCAGGGACTCACTGTAGAGGCCTGAACCCGCTGAGGCCAGAGGCCTGCAGACTGAGGGTTTGGGGGCTCTCTGTGGGGACCAGGGACTGCCTCACTGAGGGGTTAGGGGCTCACTGTAGGGATGACCACTCTTCCCAGTAAGCTGTCCCACCAGCGAGTGTGTGTGATGACCAGAGGACTGGCACAGAGCCGCCCTTCTCCCTGCAGCAAGGCTGCGAGTCCTTGGGCCCTGGATCCAGGCTGGATGTCGCAGCCGCACCCGCAGCCCAGTGTGAGCAAGTGGGAGTGGGGGTGAGGCAAACAGTAGTATCTGTGTGTTGGGGGAAGGGGTAGTAGCATCCGTGTGTGATGGGGGATGAAAAGGGCAGGCTGCCAGGCTGGACACGTGATCATTAAGTCTCACGGTGTGTGACGTCATGCATGCATACATGCATGCACAGACAGATGGAGGCGGCTGGTGGCAAGCCCATGTAGCAGCCACAGCGGGAGGGGCAGTTACCTAAGAAGGTGGTCACCACCTGGCTGGTCTCAGCCATGTTCATCTCCAGGACGTAGTCGGCGTGTGTGCTGAACCCCAGCAGGCTGGATTTCTGTGCCCGCAGGTCCACCAACTCCTTGAGGATGGCGCAGTTCTCCTGGACCACACAGAGCCAACCCGTGGGCAAAGGTCCCCCCCTCCCCACCACAGGCTCCACGCAGGCCCACAGAGACCAGCGAGGAAGGAGCAGGGGCACAGCCACTGAAGCAGCAGAGGCGGTACATTAGCGACTAAGCAATGGGCCGCTAACCCCAAGGTGGGCAGTTCAAACCCAGCCCATGGCCCCCAGGGGAAAGGCAGACGGGCAGTCTGCTTCCATGAAGATGGGAGCCTGGAAATCCTACGGGGGCAGCTCTGGTCTGTGGCCTCGATGGCACAGGGACTCTGGCAACAAGTGCCACAGAGAAAGGCGTGTTTTGAAAAGAAAACGGGATTTCCCAGCCCAGAGCGGGCGGGCTCCCCATGGGGTACAGGGCTGACTCAGATTCTGGGGAGCGGGCTCTGACTGACCCCCATGCAAACAGTGAGTGCTCAGCTGCTCACTGAAGGCTGGCAGCTACCACCTGCCAGGGCTGAGGAAGGAAGCCCTGGTAACCCACTCCCATGAAGAGTCCGCCCAGCAGGCACTTCTGCTGTCCCTCGGGGCACTCTGAGTGGGGGTGGCCAGGCCGGCGGGGGCGGGCCCACCTCCTTGCAGCGGCAGTTGAAGGCGGCCTCCACCTTCCTCCTGGTCTCAGGCACGTGGCACTTCTTCAGCAGTGGGAAGTAGTGCGGGTACTTGAGGGTGACCTTCAGTTTGTTGTCTTCGGTCTTCTCCAGGGAGTTCAGGAAGTCGTCCGGGAGGCCGCCTAGGGAGACAGAGCCAGGACCCACTCAGTGGAGGCACCCTCAGAGGTCAGAGGAGTTTCTAAGGGCAAGGCATGGTCACCAGGCCAGTCTTCTGAGGCACCTCTGGGAGGGTTCAAGCCACCCACGTTGGAGTTTGCAGCTGAGCGTTTAACTGTGCGCCACCAGGGACTCTGGCAATAGAGGGTGCACACGCAATAGAGGATGCACTACACACACGTATGCATAGGCAAGGACACAGACACATGGATACACACACTTGGACAGAGACACACGCATGGCACGGGAGTCCTGGTGGTGCATCAGTCACACACTCGCAGGGCAGAGCCCCCCAGCCACTCCCGGAAGAAAGGCCTGATAAGCTGTCCCCATGCAGTTGCCGCCTGGGCTCGCGGGGCAGCTCTCTGGGCACCCTGGGCCACCCTGGGTTGCGAGTTTGCAGCAGACACAACAAAAGGGGACTTGAAAAGGTCCCAGTGTCTTTCCCCACAGCTGGAAGGTTCCGGACAAAAGCCCGTGCAGACACAAACGGAATGAGAAAGAGGCTGGGATGACTGGCACCGTGTGCCCAGACCCCCATGGAATCCCGCCAAACACGAGGTTTCAAGATCACCTGCTCTGTCCCACCGGGCACCCCTGTGAATCCCCACTGCGCAGACCCAGAACCAGAGACCCTGCCTGTGCCTGGTTTGTGAGATTTGTATTTTTAAGGCGGCCAGGTGGGGGGCTGGCCCTCTGTTTAGGGACAATTCTGCTAGTCTGGTGACTTGGCCCCCAGCCCAGCCCCTCCATCATCATCATGCGCTGGGCTGGCCTCTGGTGGGGACTGGATCCCAGGAAGGCTCTAGAACCTCTGTGAGGCAGTGCGGCCCCAGGCCCGCTCACCGAGCTCCTCCCTCGAGAAGGGCAGGAACGTGGCATCCTCGTTGAGGTTCTGGTTGAAGTCGATGCACAGCAGGCTGAGCTTCTTCTTGATGCCCTTGATTTTCTGAAAGGAAGGGCGTCACGATGGGGCCACTTCCAGCAGAGGCTCCCCCAGGGCTCAGAGTCCCCCCTTCTGGGAGCAGGGAGACAGGGTGAGAACTGGGAGGGGAGGACCCACATCGAGCCAGAAAGGAAGTGAGGAAACTGGATGCCGGTGTGACGTGGACCCAGCAGACCGCACCAAGCTCACTGGCTTCTGGGACAGCGCCACCCAAGGTCACACAGACACCTCTGGGCTGGTCCCCTCCCACAGGGCGGCAGGCAAACACCCCCTGGGCCCAGTGTGGGCAGTGCCGTAGCTGACAAGGCGCTTCTCCGCATCAGCACAACGAAACCAAGCCCTTGACCATTCCCACTCCTGTGGACCCTGCGGGACAGGACAGAACTGACCCTGGGGGCTCCTTCCTCAAGGCGACCCGCCCTCACAGGCCCACGTGGCCTCACCTTTCTCCTGGGGAGCAGCTGGTGGGCTCAAACCGCCAATCTTGGGTCAGCACCTCGAAGCTTAACCAACCGCCTCCCCAGGGCTTCCTTCTAGGTGCAGGCTGTGACCCCCCAGAGACTAGGGAGGGAGGAGCCTGGGGGGCGCAGTGGTTACGACTTGGGCTGCCACCTGGAAGGTCAGCGGTTCAAAACCACTAGCTGCTCCTCAGAAGAAAGACAGGTCCTTCTACTCCCGTAAATAGCTACAGTCTCAGGAATGCACAGGGGCAGTTCAACCCTGTCCCACAGGGTCACTTGGGGTTGGGGTTTGGACTGAGTAGGAAGGACTGTGTGAATGTGAGGTGTTTGTGGCCCACCCTGGGGGCTCAGCAGCTTACTGGTAATGTAAAGAAGGTACATACACACCCCATGTGGGGGTGGGCACTGGTCGGTTTCGCCGTCCCACAAGCCAGTGCAGAGGCAGGAACAGGGATCTCACCACCGCTGCCGCGCCGAGCAGTAGCTAAGCAACACTCTCAGCCCACTTGCCCGTGCAGACACCCACACAGCACCCTGCCGACAACAGCCAGCATGCACTCTTCCCAGCGCACGTGGGGCCTTCTCCCCAACAGACCACATATTAGTCCAAAAAACAAAGGCTTTACAGGATCTCTCAGAGCAAACTTCACCCTAAGATCAGAAACCGACCTTGCGAAGATCATGCTAAAAAATACATACGCGGGGAAAATGACACACCTTCCTTTTGGGGAAAATGACACACCTTCCTTTTGAAAACAACAACGAAAACGTAAAAGGTCCTTGATCAGAGGAGAAACAGAGAGCACCAAGACCTGGTGGGGGGAGAAGCACCAGTGTGTGCTCTGGGCCCCGAGACGCTGAAGGCAGAGAGCTGTGACTTCAGGGGGAGAGGGAGGGAGGCAGCCAAGGCGGCAGCGGCGGCAGCAGCAGCAGCAGCAGCAGGGGACAGAGACGTGGATGCTTCAGGCCAAAGGCTGGAGGAGTAGGGCCTCCCGGAGAGCTGGTGCATCGGGGCACAAGGACAGCTGCTGCACGGCCAGGGTGGAGAGCGCAGGGCAGTCTGAAGGCCTCGCCGGGGACAACTTTTCAAAGATTGTGTGGGCCATCAAATGGCACACACGGACCCCCGAGCACCAGCCTCCAGGGGCCATGGCCTGTTGCCCTTCAGGAAAGGGACACGTGCCAAGTGGGGGTGGGGGGGCGGTCTCAGGGTGTCACTTTGCCTCAGCAAGGCAGAAACCATGGAGTAAAGCTGCTCTAAGGGCGGCCTTCCAGAACTCCTGCAGCGCCCAGCTCGGGGAGGGGAGAGGGGATGTGGTCTACACACAGACCCTGTCACCTTCCTGCACACTGCGCTGGGCCTGCACCACCCTCCTCCTCCAGAAAGTGGGAGGTGCCACTGGACACAGGTCCCCATGAGGTCAGCCAGACATGCCGAGTGCTTGTGCCAGGAGCCTCCTCTGACTCAGGAGGGTGGAGGGAGGCAGGAGGCAAAGAAGGGTGGTTTGGGAGACCACCCCACCCAGGGGCTGGGCCTTCCCTTGTAGGGCATGAGGAACCACACTCCCACGCCCCGAGACTCACTTCTTGGGTCTCCTCAGGGAGGTGCAGGCCGTTCCTCCGGCCCAGCTTGATCAGCCGCTCCAGATAGCGCATGGCCTCAGGCCGCAGCCCGTCCTTCTCCACCTTCTCCTAGAACCAGAAATCAGAGTCCTGGGCGTCTACATGCGCACACCACAGTCCCTCCAGAGACCCTCCCAGGACACCTGGACCCAGCCGGAGACCGTCCTCCGATGAGGGGCATGGGGACGTGGGAAACTGAGGACTGGGTAGACAGCATGTGGACAAATTCTTTATTCTCATAGTTGAAGAAGCCTGGGAGGCCAGGGTTCTGGGTGGAGGGAGGCCTGCACACTTGTGAGTTAGAGATGAGTCTCAATCCCATTCTCATAATTAAGATTGATCCCCACAATATCCTCCCAGAATAGTGCTACCTTGAAATTACCTCTCACAAGCACAGGACTGATTGCTATCTGGTTGGCAGCTTTATCATAGGAGCAACTGCTCTCCCTGCTTAGGGGACAGCCGCTCTCCTTACCTGCCCCCAGAACTGATGTGAGGTCACTCCTCCAATAAACTCAGAGACTGCCAGGGTTAAGAAACTGTCCACTTTGTTACATACGTGGTTACCTGTAAATTATGGGGGCGGCACTTGCATGCCTGAGATTATATAAGTTGATGTAAGAATGCATTCTTCTCTCTCTCTCTCTCTCTAGAATGCATTCTTCTCTCTCTCTCTCTCTCTCTCTCTCTCTCTCTCTCGCACCCTCAAAACTTTTGTGGGCCTTATAATTTCTTCCTTTCAATTACATCAGGACATAGACTGGATCTCACAGGGATGCCAGTGTTCGGTCACCTGGTCAGTCTACCAGGCCCAGTGGACCCAGGTGCCAGGGAACATAGGACATCACCACCGGGCAGAACGGGGGCAGGTCAATTGTCTTGGTGGGAAACTGGGCAGGGCGGGCCTGGCCTACAAAAGGCCACAGGCTGGTTTCTCAGGCCTCAGTCGTCTGGCTACGTGGTGGCCTCCGGAGCACGCTCCGAGTCATCACGAACACGACCCCAACGTCACACGCGCTTCAGACCAAAGCGCCTCAGCAGCCCGTCTCTGCTTGCTGGTCAACTGACTGTCCGCCACGGGCATTCCCGCTGGCTTGGGGCTCCTCCCTCAACCTGGAGGAGCCAGTGCTGCCCGATGGTCAGCACACTGGAGATGGGGTGGGCAGAAAGTCAGGGGCACCTAGACTTCTGTCAAGACTCAAGATGGAGCGAGGGCTCCCGCTGGGGGCTGCCGCCTTCCACACACCAAGTGCTACAGACATGACGCTCTCACAGGCAGGACCACTCAAGTGAAGCTGGCCAGAGTGGACAATAGGGTGGGCAGCCACCTCAGGGGCCAGGCAGGCAGATTCTCATAAACTAGAACCCCAGACAGGCACCTCCTGGACATCAGTCCTGCGGAGAAGACATGTGTCCACTCAAAAGCTGGACACGGAGGCCCAGGTTGCTCGACCCAGGGCATCACCAGTCGTCAGTGTCACCGTCATCCTCGTCCCACGAGAAATTCTAACCAAGGACCCAAGAGCCAGAACTAATGGAGCTCAGTCCCACGTCCCAGGGAGAGGGAGAACTCAGTGGTGCCCGGCCACCCGCACTCAGAGCACTGAAAGGGAAGCGGAATAAAGCTCAAAACCACCAGAGACCAGGCTGACTGGCTGGGTGACATTATGGCCTTCAGGCCTGGAGCTGAACTCATGCCCGCGGTTCCACCTTCAGCCACGCCACAGGCGGGCCCACGCGAGGAACCACCCGCGAAGACAGCCCGGACTCCTCCGACCACCACCAGAGCTCAAGGGGCAGCACTTGCTCAGGGAAAAAGCCAGGAAGGGCTGGGACAGAGTCTGAAGGGGAGCCTAGAACCCGGGGGAAAAGCGGGAAGAGGGCTGCGACACGGAAGGGCAGGTCACCAATGTCACCAAACAAGAGGCGCGGGAATCAAGGAGTGGAAGATCGGTTTGCGTTGTAAGCCTTCTCCCAAATGATACAGAAAAAGCAATGAAAGTTCTACTTATGTTCTCGGGGGCTCCCCCTCCCCCATCTGTACCACAGCAAAGCAACTGTGTTCCCAGGGAGCTCCAGGCACCTGTGTCGCCTCTGGGGCCCTTCTGCTATGGCTCCAGCACTGGTGGCAGCCAGTGATCACAGTGACACTGAATCATGACCCAACAGTGTGTGCTGGGCCCCGGGCAGTGGGGGAGCAGGGATGCAGCTTGGAACCAGGGCAGCTGCTGCTTCTTCCACACTTTCTTGTGCAGGCCAGGCCACCCGCCTCCCACCCAACAATCCACACCCGCGCTTCCCATCACTCTCTGTCCCCTCGTCAGGGCACTCACGTACCCCACTTTCTCCCGCTTCACCCGTCCTCTTCCCTCCCCGCACCCTGTGAACTCTGTCTGTGGGCAAGTGCTGCCTCTCTGAAGCTTCCAAGGAGTGGGTGTTCCTCATGTCCCTGTTCTCCTAACTCACTGTGGCCTGGCAGACTGTCCAATTCTCCAGAGGCTTTGCCAAGGGGCTTGGGGGTCTGTTGCCCCCTCCCTCCCTCCAAGCCTCGGTCATTCTGCTCCCTTGAACGCCCACCTGCAGCCACACAATCCTCTGGTACACGTCCTGCCGCATGCTCATCTCCACGTCAAACTCCGACAGCTTCTTGTCAGCCTTGGTGCTGGCGGCCCGGATGTCCTTGGACGGGGAGACGTGCTGAGGGAAATCAAGGACATTCCTCTGAACTGAAACAGGCAGACAACGGGACAGGCATGAGAATGGGCCAGGAAGCCTGGCCAGTGCCCACCAACCCATCACCGGCTCGTGTGTCGGTGTGTGACGCGGGGGCGGGGGGGATCAGGCCCAGGCCGGGCTAAGTGCCACCTGAGCAACAGGGTACAGGGGAAGCAGAGCAGGACGACTTGTGTCTCCGACCAAAGTCTGGGCAGTACAGCCCAGGGCGGCACCCTGTCACGAGGCGTCTCGGGGACGCACAGGGCACCTGGGCTCCAACCTGAGGACTTGAGACAGCCCCCAGAGCAGCCTCGCCAGAGCGCTTTCTGTTGGGGAGGGAGGACAGCGGTCATGGAAATCAGCGGCCTTCAGACCTTGGAGGAAAGTGGGATGGGAGGACAGGGCAGTTTGTCCCCGAGTGCTGTGAAGCCACGCTGCACGCCACTAAGGACATACTCTGTACTGGCCCATCCTGGTTTCACCCAATTCTCCGGCGATGCTTTAAAACCCATGATCGTCCAGTGAGGGGGAGCCCTGGTGGCAAAAGCACCCAGCCTTGAAAAACAGGGTCAGCCTGTGGAAGCCACCAGCCACTCCGAGGGGGAGAGATGAGGCCGCCTACTCCCGTGAGGACTGACTGCCTGGGAAACACTCTGGGGCTGGTCCACCCTGTCCAAGGACGGCGGGCAAAGTGAGGAGCCACACCAACAAACACACTCGCGTGTGGAGCGCGTGCGTCACCTCCCCTGGCCCTCCAGCTGAGCACACTGCTCCTGGACGCTCGGCTCCCTCAGGAAGGAGTGCGCAGGCTTTTCATTTGAGGGAGAGAGAAGGACAGCGGCGGGCCGGTCGAGGTGCTGGGAATGGGCAGAGGCGCAGCCTGATGAGCTCATCACTGCGAGAAATCCACGCCATCGAGTCCACTCCAACCCATGTGGACCCTGCAGGACCGGGCAGAACTGCCCCTTGCTGTGGAGTGGGGCTGTCAGGGTTGGTTCCAACTCACAGCAACCCCTGCACGACAGAAGGGGACACTGCCCGATCCTGCGCCGCCCTCACCATCGTTCTTTTGCTCGACCCACTGCTGCAGCCACGGTGTCCCTCCATCTCCGTGAGGGCCTTCCTCTTTCACTGTCCCTCCACTTTACCAGGCACGCTGTCCTTCTCCACAGACCGGTCTCTCCTGACAATGTGTCCAAAGCATTTAAAATGCTATCTCACCATTTTTGCCTCTAAGCTGCCTTCTGGCTGTACTTCTTCCAAGAAGGTTGTCCTTTTCGCAGGCCACGGTGCTTTCAATAGTCTTCTCCAGCACAATTCAAATGCATCGGTTTCTTTGTCCGTCCTTCTTCAATCCAACTTTCACATGCATGTGCGGTGACTGAAAAGACCATGGCTTGTATTGCTCCTTAAGGTTCCCAAGACCATCCGTCTTTATGGGAGCAACAGCCTCATTTTTCTCTGGTGGATTTGAACCGCTGACCTTGTAGCTGGTATCCCAGCACCTAACTCACGGCACCACTGAAGTGTCTGCCAAATTCCAAACGCTCTGCTTCGCCTGTTTCCCTGTTGCTGAGATCTTGAACAGCCCACCTGCTTTGTCTGCATTCCGTGACTGCTCTGCTTCTCAGTGGCTTCGTTCAGGCCATCTCTGCATCCTGTTCTGTGATCCCAGAGGACAGAGCAGAACTGCCCCCAGGCTGCTGAGCTTCAAGAAGAAGACGGCCACATCTTTCTCCCAAGCAGCAGGTGGTGGCTTTAAACTGCCAACTGTGAGGGGAGCCACCCAGCGCTGAACCCACGGCACCACAAACTACCCTACACTGTGGATCTCGCCTAGAGGAAAGAAGCCAGCTGGCGGGACTCCCAGAACCCGGGACAGGGCCCTGCTGGGACACAGGTTTCTGCAGAGGTCTGAGTGACAGTGGGGCCACATGGGAGCTGAGGGAAACTGGGGCACAGAGACACAGAGGGCAGATGCCACATGAAGGGGGAGGAAGAGGGTGGGAGAGCACAGCAGAGCTTGGGGAGGTGGGGACAAAGCCCGCCTGGAGCCTCCCGTGGAAGAACAGCCGCTCCCTCCCCACATGCTGGGGCTCCAGGGGCCCACAGTGGGGGAGAGCTGGCTCCTGTGGTTTGAAGCCTCTGTTTTGTGGCTCTGCAGCCCCAGGGCAGCCAGACAGGTGGTGACGAGGTCACCTAATGGCAGCAGGTAAGCACAATGCAGGGTGGGAAGACAGAGAGCTGCTGCCAGCTTGGCAGTCAGGAGTGAAAACAAATCCCCCAGGTCACTGCCGTCACTGGAGTCGGCTCCCGGCATCTGTCTCTGTGCACAGTCTCTTGTTCACGCTCTCAGGTGTCACTGAGCAGGCACCAGCGGTGGCTGTACCTGTGCCATGGGCTTGCTCATCACACCCCACCACATGTGAGGAAGCTGCTGCCGCTGCCCGCCCCCAATCAGGTCCCCGCAGCCAGACTCACATACTCAGACTTGGAAACCCTCTGGCTCACAGCGGGGGGGCAGGGGGGGGCACCAGCCTGGGCGGGGGGAGGGGTTGTGCGCTCCACCTCGAGTCAAGGAGACTGGACAGCAGTGAGAAGTGGGATCTGAACCAGCACGGACCTCAGGAGCTGAGCCCCTCACTCGCTCGCTCGCTCGCTCCCACACAGGGCTTACCCGTGTAGGTCACCTCCACGTCGGCCAGGGCCTTGAGCGTCTTCTCATAGGAGACGTCCTGGAAGTCCTGGGCGCCCACCTGGTCGTACACCTGCTTGGTCTTCTCCATGAGCTCTCGGGTCAGCGTCTGGATCTGCTCGGCACTCAGGTCCCAGCGCAAGTGGTTTTCCATGGAGCACGGGGATGCCACGTCAGAGACGTCACCAGCACAGTCTGGATGGGGGACAGAAAGAAGTCCCGTGACGTGCCTGTCCACTCTCACAGAGGGGTATGCCCCCCACACAAAGCATCACAGGCTTTGTGTGGGGCACATGGGCAGTTGTGCTGGCGTCTCCCTGGGGTGACTGCCTCCGGGGACTGAGCGATGTCTGGGAACATCTCTCGATGTCACAATTTAGGAAGTATTCATGGCATCAAGTAGGTGGGGGCCAGGGATGCAGGAGACTCCCGCCCAGAGAAGAGCACTCACTGCAGGGAGCAGCACCTGTACAGCCCCAGGGTCACACAACAAGGGCGCCAGAGAGCAAGGGCAGAGGGGGCAACAGGGGTGTGGCCGGAGAAACCCTTTCTCCAGGCTCGCTCGCTCGCTGCCCAGCTGACAAGCATCTCACAAGTCATTCAGAATGGGGCGGTTAGTCAGGACATACAGGTGTGGTTAGCATGGAGTTAGGGACTTTGACCCCACCACCCCACCCCAGGCTTACAGGAAAGAAGGGCTGGGCAAGGTCAGGACCCAGGAACCACCTGTGGGAAGGCCGAGAAGCAGGACATGTGAGGACATGTCAGAGTGGCACAGCCGGGCGGGTGAGGGGGGTGGGGGAGACAGATCCTGGTAGACGCATGCCACCCAGAACCCAGGAGGGCACATAGTTTTTACTCCCCACCCAGCGTGTCTCAGAGTGGGACCGAGTCCCGGAGGGGCTTTCACAGGCAGTGAGTAAAGTGCACGGTCATGCTAACCGAAGGGTGGGCAGTTCGAACCCATCAGCTGCCCCACAAGAGAAAGGCATGGCCATCTCTTCCATCAAGCTGTCCAGACCAACGGTCAATCCCTCCAGGGCAGAGCGCCAGCGACACAGTAACAAACAACTCCCAAGAGGGGCTATGGAGGCCGACCTGCTAGCTGAGCTGTGCGGTGACCAGCCACCAGCAAGGACAGTCCTTAGTTTGGAGGGCAGCTCTCTTTATTGCTCCCGCACCATCCTCACAACTGCTCCTGCGCTTGCCCCCATTGTTGTGGCCACTGGGTGTCAATCCATCTTGTTGGGGGTCTTTTTCACTGCCCATCAACTCTACCAGGAATGATGGCCCCTTCTCCAGGGACTGCTCTCTCCTGATAGTATGTCCAAAGCCTGTGAAATGAAGTCTTGCCATCCTTGCCCCTAAGGCAGTGGTTCTCAATCTCCCTAATGCCACCACCCTTTAATATAGTTCCCCATGTTGTGGTGATCCCTGACCATAAAATTATTTTCGTTGCTACTTCATAACTGTAATTTTGCTACTGTTATGAATCAGGCGACCCACAGGTTGAGAACTGCTGCTCTAAGGAGTAGTCTCACTGTATGCCTTCCAGAACAAGGTTTGTTTGTTCTGGCAGGCCACGCTACTTTCGATATTCTTTGCCAACATCAAATTCAGTAATCCTTCCTTATTCATTGCCCAATGTTTCACATGTACATGAGTGGACTGAAACTACGGTGACGTGGGTCAGGCACACCTTGGTCCTCAAAGGACACCCTTACTCTTCAACACTTTAACACTACGTTTACAGACATTTCTTATATGCCCATCTCTACAGATATGTGTCAAATTGACATGCGAAAAAACACACATTTTCCTTTAAAAAAACTACTTAAATATACAAAGCAACATAATTATACACTATTAACATACATAAAACTATGAGATACTGTTTATTTGTATAAAATTGATAATTTTTGAGATATTGGGTTCGATGTACCTTAAGGGTCACTTGGATTAGTCAGTATGACAATCTCTGATGCACTGTCTTTACATTTGATCTTTATTTTCTAATAACTTTTGGGCTGTTTATATTTATTACCCAAAACAAACACACAAAAAAAGCACACATATTACCAAAATAACACTTTCATGAATGAAATCTATTCACTGAGATTAATACTCAATTTACGTTTGCATCAAATTAATGTGTATTATCCATAGCAGTAAGTATAAGAGAGAGAATTTTGAGATTAGTAGGCAAAGTTACTTTGGCTACATATCTATATGTTTGTCTCACTAAATGGATAAAAGTCAGCATAAACGGTAGAAGGTAAGCATAAAAGATTTCTGTAATTGGCATTGAGTAAATTGAGATGTGTCAAAATGACTAGTCCCATACACCTAATGTTAATGAGGTCTTTGCGCATATTTACCCAAATGCAATACATCATTTGATTTCTTGACTGCTGCTTCCATGATCACTGTAGAGCCAAGCAAGATGAAATCTTTGGCAATTTCACACTTTTCTCCATTGTCTCCGTTTATCATATCCTGGTCTAATTGTAAGGATTGGGTGTTCTTTACGTCCACACTGAAGGCTAGACTTTGAGCTTCAGCAGCATGTGCTTTAAGTCCTCCTCTCTTTCAGCATCAGGCGGTGTCATCTGCACATCACAGCTGTTAATGAGCTTTCTGCCAATCCTGCTGCCACATTCTTCCTATAGTTCCATTTCGTGGATTATTTGTTCAGCCTACAGACTGATTAAGTATGAATAAGGATACAGCCCTGATGCAGACCTTTCCTGGCTTTAAACTAAGCAGTAGGGCCTTATTCTGTTAGGAAGACTGTCTCTCCGTGCATGTACAGATTCCACATCAGGACAATGAAGTGTTCTGAAATTCCCATTCCTCTCCAAGTTACCTATACATTGTTATGATCCATGCAGTCAAATAGCTGTGCAGAGGCAAAGCAAGTGAACATCTTTCTGTTACTCTGCTTTCAGCCAAGGTCTGGCATCGGCAATGCCGTCCCTCTCTCCGTGTCCTCTTCTGAATCTGGCTTGAATTTCAGGCAGCCCCTGTCCATGTACTGCTGCTCCCAATGTTTGGAGTGATCTTCAGCAAAATTGTACTTGCACGGGATATTACTGATACTGGTGGTATTTGAAATAACAGGGGCAGAGCTTCTACCATCACGGCTAACAGGTTTTGGATCTATATTAAAGGTCGTTATAAGAACCACTCCTCTGTCAAGTTTGTCACACTGTGGTGGCTTGTGGGTTTCCATGATGCTGGAAACTATGTCATTAGTATTTCAAATACCAGGCAGGGTCACCCAGAGTGAACAGGTCTCAGCAGAGCTTCCAGACTGAAAAGACGATACAGGAAGAATAAACTGCTTAAGAGGAAGTAGCCAATGAAAACCTTATGGATAGCATTGAAACATTGTCGATTACTGAAATCTAACGAACAAAAGCAAAACATGGGCAGAGATAGTGCCAGACGGTGAGTCCCTCAGGGTGAAAGGCAATCATCAAAATATGACTGAGGAGGCTGAATTGACCATGACGTAAATGGAATAAAGCCTGTGGGAGTAAACCCTTCAGGACCTTCATTTGCTGACAGAGCACAATTCAATATAAGAAGAAACAGCTGCAGGCATCAACTAATAAACAGAACTTGGAATGTATGAAATATGAATATAGGAAAACTGGAAATTGTAAAAAATGAAATGAAATGCATAAAGAGTTGGAAATTGATCAAACATGCAATCAAGATGCATTGATCATTATTGGCAATGATGGAATGCAAAAAGTTGGAAATAAAGAGGAATGAATAGAGGGAGGGTGGGGTAGAGAGGGGGAGCCAGGGGGGAAAAAAAGAGGAATGAATAGTAGCTGTAAAATATCATCTTGGTGATAAGAAATGAAACTGGAGATCACATGATAGAATTTTGCAAGACCAACGACTTCTCCATAACCATATGGTTTTCAACAACACACAAGGCACATGCACGCCCCCTGATGGAACACACAGGAGTCAAAGTGACGGCACCCGTGGGGAGCCGAGGCAGGAACGCAGCAGCAGCAGCAGCAGCCCGTGGACCGGACCATCTTGCTCATAGTGCTCAAGACCGAAGAAGAATCGATGTGCTTGAACTGTGGGACTGGAGAAAATATGGAAAGGCCCATGGACTGCTGAAAAAGACAAACCAATCTGTCTTGGAAGAAGTGTGGCCAGAGTGCTCCTTCGAGGTAAAGACTGCCAGACTCTGCCTTACATACTTTGGCTATGTTGTCAGACAGGAGATTCCAGTCCTCGGAAGGAGGACTTCAAGTTTGGTCTACTAGAGGGGCAGTGAAAAAGAGGAAGGCCTTCAACCAGAGGACTGACATAGTGGCTGCAACAGTGAGCTGAAGCACAGGACCAATTGTGAGGGTGGTGCAGGGTTGCTAAGGGTCTGCACCAACTCAGTGGCACTTAGCAGCAAGTTCAGGTTGGAGCTGAAGAAAATGAAAACAAGTCCACAAGCACCAAAATACCACCTTGAATCCATCCCACCTGAATTCTGGGAACATCTCAGGGGCAGATTTGATGCATGAAACACTGATGACAGAAGAGCTGTGGGATGACATCGAAACTTTATTCTTGAAGAAAGCAAAAGGTCATTAGAGAAAGTGGGGGTGGGAATCAAAGTAGACTTCAGAAGAGAGTCTGAAACTCTTTAACTAGTCCTCTGAGACTAACGCTTTACAAAAGTAACTCATCTTTCTCCCGAGGAGCAGCACCTGTGGTTTCAAACTGCAGACTTTGTTACAGCCCATGGCCTAACCACACCACCACCTGGCTAAGGATGCCTCAGCCTTTAATGCAGCAGTTCTCAACTTGCAGGTGGTGACACCTTTGGGGGTTGAACGACCCTTTCACAGGGGTCGCCCGATTCATAACAGTAGCAAAATTAGTTATGAAGTAGCAACGAAAATAATTTTATGGTTGGTGGCTCACCACAACATGAGGAACTGTATAAAGGGTCTCGGCACAAGGAAGGTTGAGAACCACTGCTTTAATGGCATGTTCTTTAAGGACACATTACATTAGGTAAATCTGCTCCACAAGACCTTTTTAATGTGCTGAAAAGCAAGGATGTTACCTGAGGACTAAGGCACCCCCTGACCCAAGCCATGGTATTTTCAAGTCTATTACAGGTATGTGAAAGTTGGACACTGAATAAAGACCAGAGAAGAATCAGTATTAGACTTGTGGTGCTGAAGAATACAGAGATAGTACCACGGACTGCTAAAAGAACAAATTTATCTAGAAGAACATCCAGAGTGCTCCTTAGAGGCAAGGATGGCAAGACATCATCTCAAGTACTTTGGGCATGATGTCAGGAGAGACCAGTCCTGGAGAAGGACATCATGCTTGATGAAGTGGAGGGGCAGCAAAAAAAGGAGAATGCCCTCTACAAGATAGATTGGCACGGTAGTGGCAACAGGGGCTCAAACATAACAACTCTGAGGATAAAGCAGGACCTGGCAATGTTTCATTCAGTTGTAAATGGAGTCACTATGAGTCAGCCCCTAACAAGTAAGGACAGCTTTAGGGTTCCAGGAAGACAGACCAGATGGGAGAGAGGAGGCTGAGCACAGGCATTCATTCCCTCAGTAAATATCCATGGACTTTTATCTATGACAGGGCTCTGGGTGGAAGATTCAGCAAATAACAAGGTGGACTACATTCCTGCCTACCTGAAAAGTTCTAATTACCTCCATCAACAGCAACAGCAACCTGTAGGAGAAAGAGGGGGTGGTGTGGGGGGTTGTGTGTGTGTGTGTGTGTGTGTGTGTGTGTGTGTCGTGTGACTAAGTGGTGTGATGACCACTTCAACAGTTAAGAAGGCAGAAGTTCCTGGGTGGAGGGAAGAGTTAAATGTTCAGCTACCACTTGAAACATTGGTGGTTCGAGCTCACCCAGAGGTGCCTCCAAAGAGAGGCCAGGAGAGCTGCTTCTGAAGGGTCACAGGCCATAAAACAGCCTGGGGGATTTTCCCAACACAAATCAGTCAAGGGCACTGCCTGAGAGAACCCCGCCCCTCTCCCCAGCGTCCCGGTACCCTGGACCGGTCTCTTAAAATAAAAGGCTCTGCTGGCCAGCTTACTAGCAGGCAGCCCCTGGGTTACAGGCGTCTGTCTTACGAAGACAAACATTTGAACTTCAGGCTTCCACGCAGATTCCACGTAAAAGCAAATATCGGGCATGAACTGGCCAGAACCCTGCGCGGGCGGGGCGTGTTTGTAATCCGGAGACGGCCTGCCAATTCCAGCCAGCTGGCTGGTCATCCTCCAGACCGGTCACTCTGGTTCCCGCCACCGGGGCTGGGCCTCAGCCCAATCCCCCACCCCCACCGCGCAGGGCAGCGCCCCATCCCCGCTCCGAGGCTGTGTCCTCCGGGAAGCCGGCCTCCGTGGGGTCGACGCGACGGGTCAGTCTTCGCTCCCAATGTGCCCGGCACCCCCGCCCGCTCAGCAACCTGTTGACCGCCCGCCTCCGACCGCGGAGTCCACCCCAGGCCCTTCCGGGACCGTGTGTCTGCGAAATGAATGAACTGCTGGGAAAGCCGGTTCATTCATTCGGCCTACGACGGACCGCGGGGGCCCAGCCTCTCGCCCGCCCGTGCCCAGGGCCCCTCGGGGGTCGCTGCGCTCCGGGCTGAGGCCGAGTGGAGACTCCGGGAGGCCCGAGGGCGCGTGGGGCACCTAGGGACGGGGCGCGGGAGTCGCGCCCGCCGACGGGAGGCCGGTACCTGCGGGGGGCTTCATGGCGGGCGGGTCTATCCCAGAAGCTCCCTAGCTCCACCTCGTCCTTGTCCGGCTGCCAGTCGCTGCCCGAAGCACGTCAGGGAGCTCAGTCGTCGCCGCTGTCGCTAGACTGAGGAGCCCGCTGCCCGCCGCGCGTAGGGCATGCTGGGAGGACGCGTGCGCGGTGGGCGGGGCGCTGACGCACGCCCGAGCTCCGCCCACACCCCCCGTGGCTAGGCCTACGCTATGGCTCCGCCTCGCCTCTCCTGGCTCGTCATTGGCTCTCGGGAGTTGAAGGGGTGGGGCTTCAGGTTCCACCCACCCACCCCCAGAGCCGCGGGGCGTGTCCGTGGAAACCGCACTTGGGGCTGGCATGTCTGAGCACCTGTCAGTAAGGCTGTGGCCCTGCTTCTCCACCTGCGCTTAAAAAATAATCTTTTTTTTTTTTTTTTTT